TAAGTAATGTATCTACATTTGTAAGTGAGAGCCGATTCTGCTATTAAATTATTAAAACGCTGTGTTACCACTCAATATTTTACCCAGTTATATACGTACATACACTAAATCAATAACCGTGTTGATGAACTGGTCGTTTAATTTGAAAGATTGATTATTCCGTAGCTGTAAAATCGATATATTTGACTTTAATTAGGTATTATGACGTCGATTCTGAAAAACGGTGTTTACCTTTGTTGTGTAAATAAGTCACATCACATATACATGTATATTTCAAATAATGACACACAACTCCATACCTTTGTCCATCTGTCATGGCTGACGGAAATTATATAAAGTACAAAGACAAATAATAAATAGCGATTTCACAACAGATTACGTGTGATAAATATTGTAAACTATTGATTTAAGAGATAAATACCTGAACGATTCCCGAATCCGATTTTGAGATAGTGCGGAAAGCTAATTTACATTGGACTTTGCATACAATACTCCAGCAATGATTACCGATGCGTGATGTCAAATATAAGTTTGTTTTAATTGTATATCGTTTACACTGTATGAGGCAGCGGACGGGGGAGGGGTGTCACTGATTCCAGGTTTCCGCAAAGAGCCCTCCCCCCACCTCCACAATAACATTGAAGGGTTCCGTTTTAAAGATAACTCACAGGAACATTTGAGCATAATAGTAATGGAACTGGTCATTCTAAAACGTTCGTGTGATCAGTCCATCAGTTCGTTGTGTTCTATAAAAAATACTGTAAATCACTTAGATTTCTTCGCGAATGTACTTTTTCAGACGTTTTCGCGAAAAAAAGACTTCACGAACGCTGATCTAGAAATGATTTTAAATTCGGGAATGATGAACTATAGGAGACCAAGACTCTTCAAGACTCCGATATCGGTAACCAAATCAACATAAATTTCATCCAGATTTATTTTCTCGCAAATAATCGCGAAAGACTTGAATTCACGATTGACTCTATTCCCATTTTAACGCGAAAATAATCCCACGCGAAATATAACTTATTTACAGTAGTCATCTTGCTATTTCGTTACAAAGTGTTACGAAAATTGCAACAAGACATAAATTTACTACAAGATTTCTGACTTGTAAATACTGTTTTAATTGGGACACTCCACGTACCAGTTAATTAGTTCATATGACATGCTGGCATTCGTAGCCATGTTCCCAACCCATTTGGGTCATTTGCAGACGTAGGTGACAAAGTCGAAAGTACTCTCTCCTTCTTTTTGTCAAAAGTCTGATACCAGATAATTGTAGTCGTCTCGACATTTAACGAGAATTTCTTGCGATCCACCATTTAAAAGTCTTTATTGACTTTGCGAATGACTTCAACTCTACTTTCCTTTCGTAAATTACATGTTGACATGTTGTTATGACAGTATTTGACGGTCCTTTGTTCTTTTGATAATTCCCAAAATTAAACAAGAAAAACTGCCTAAATTGGAAGTATATTACTAAGAAATTACAAAAGTACATTAAAATTTTCGAAATAATGGTTGCTAGTCTCAAAATTCACAAAATGAAACTTACGACATATTTCCGACTCCATCCACTTAACCGTTCTGTTCCTGGTCCTCACTCCCTATCCCACCCTACTCCCGGTTCCCGCCTCTTGGTTTCCCCTCCCTGTCCGTTCCCTAATACATGTCAACATCACAATTTTGGTTTCCCGAAATTGCAGTTAAAGTATAAAACATTTCTACATTTATATACTGATGGTTCAGAAGATAATGATAAGGTTGCCGCGGCCATGGTTTCACAAGATGAAGCGTATGGATGCTGCCTAACGAACAATACTCCAATATTCTCGACAGAATCGCGAGCTATCTACATCACCCTTGAATATATTCAAACAAACAACGTAATGACACCTGTTATCTATTCAGACTCTCTTTCTGTACTACAAAGTCTTGGCAATAGAAATATTTTCATTCGTAAAACCTTAATACTATATCATGAACTTGCCTTTTACTTTCGTATTACTTTGTGCTATGTCCCTGAGCACATGGGAATATCGGTCAATTAAAAAGCAGATCGTGCCGCAAAGGAAGCTTTATCGCTACCACCTGTTGTTTTTAAACTTCATTTTACTGATTTTAAAGCATTAATCAAACACTTTTTAACAGTTCCATGACAGGAGGAATGAACTTTATATTCTAATAATAAATTGCACTCCCTAAAACAATATCATCGGTGAATGGTCTCCATGCTATAGAGACAAACACCGGGACGAAGTTGTCCTTGCCCGTCTTCGGATGGGCCACACATACCTTTCGCATTCATATATGTTGAAAGGCTAAGCTTATCCCCGGTGCACAGGATGTGATGAACCATTCACCGTTAAACATTTTTTATTGGACTGCATTGACCTTCTGTCTACCCGAGAAATGTTTTATCGTAACGTTTAAAGTCCAAAGACCCTTTTTGAAACTGTAGAGATCGTTAAAATTCTAGGTTATCTGAAAAATGTTGACCTACATTATACACTATGACTTACCTTTTTATCTTTTTTATAATAATATAACCATTTAAGATTTTAAGCGTTTGTCTTTTACCTTTTAGTTTGTTTGATGTTATTTCCTTTTGGATAGCTGTGTGTTTCACCAGTTGTTGGCCCTAATGACCTTTCAAGTGTTGACGGGCCGTTAAGATTGTAATAATAGTAAGAATGATAGAGATCCTTTGGAAGTAAAACTTCGTTGTACAAAAGCTTGTGCATTATACCATTGCGATGGTAATTCCTGTTTCCCAATGTGAAATATAACTTTGTCAATAAGATATTTTGACAATTCATGGAAGTGGTTGCTCAAATTTAATCGAATTTGAGTTTGAATTACAGATCTTGTCTATCGCACAAATATGCAATACTATCGTGGTTGATCAAAATTTAGAAATGACTTATAAATAAATGTGTGACATGGTTCATTTATTTCTAAATAAATATGAGTACAACTAAGTATATTTCCTAGTTAAGCCATTAAAATATAGGTTGGACACTAGTAGATATATCAGATACAGGCTGATTAGTTAGATACACACGTAATTTAAGGCGCTTTGTTTACAAAGAGCCACACGTGACCAGTCTGAGTGCACGGACACTCATTATATATACATTATATATGTAAACATTAAATGGACGTCTCTTTATGTCACAGCAATGAATCATTTAAATCCACATACTTTCAGAAAGGAAATGTTATTTCTATAATGCTCTCATTTTTCATTTATTTTGTACACAAAAATATATGTTCAGGCAAATCTAAAGTGTTGTATCTTACATTTATCTATTTTAACAAGTTTTCGTCCACTATTACGACCTATCGGTCTTTCAGCGGACGAGGTATTTATTACAGGGGCGACTCAGCCGGTAAAGATCCGGACCTGTCATGTATATACCCGTATACTGGTCAACTTTTGCTGCCCAAGGTACTACTACTGGTCACTTTCCGTGGTGTGAAACTATATACGATCAGTCCAGTGTTATTTAGAAAACTGTCGAATAAAACATGACTTTTATAATCACCGATTAATTTTAATATATTCATGTGATCTCTATTTAGTAATAATTTAACGAATTTTCCGTTTAAATTTCAATCCGTAATATTTAGTAAACCATTTTTACCAAACCGCACAAAATGTGTGATCCTATTGCACAGTTGTGCGCACGATACTGTATCGTGCGAGTGTGCGCATGATCTGAGCATGGAGTTTTAGGCGCATTGTGGGTTATCATAATTGTACTACGAACTTGATACGGTAAGTTTAGCGATGAATTTCACCAACGTCGAGTTTTCAATGACGGTATCCATGAATGATAAAAGGACAAACAGCGATAAAGACTGGTACACAGCTTAATTATTAACAATAAGGTTACTGGCTGGTAACCATACACAGCCAATATTTTATGAAACGTTATTTAAACGTTAAAATTGGTTTTCCAACATCAAATTTGAACGTTATTTTTCATATTTGTCATCGTTTCACGTGACTTTAACGTTAAAAATTAAATGTTGAAATTACTTAACTTTATTTCACGTTATGAAAAATTGGTAGTGTAAGGTGAAAGTGCTCGCGAAACATTCCCTGCTGATCGGTGCTTGTTTCTGTTAAAGGAACATAAGAGATCGAAAGAACAGAGCCTGTTGTATCCCACTCTATCATCGTCGGAGGCGACTGAAATTGGACCAGAGGAATCCTTCATGTATTTTTCAACAAGGGCACATCGATGCCACCTCGACAAATCGGCTACATCTATTGCAACATTTCATGAGGTTCAACGTAGAATGTATCTGGTATCGCCAGCTTGTGATTTGGTATAAACAAATATGGCCGCAGAACGGGGTTCAGGGAACCAACGGTGAGATCAAAAACCTAGATATCTCACGTATGTAGAATGCAAGATTCTAATGAATATCGCGTTTCAGTAATAAATTGTTTGCTGTTTCCATTCATAGCAGACATTTTTCGAACAATTTTGGTTTAGAAGTTATTCAGCGGATTACTGGATATTCTGAGACAGAAAACGGCACCCCCAACCCACTCATGACTTTTAAGTCAATTTGAAAATCAATATGAAGTGCAAACTCACTTATTATCACTAGATCCATGTTTCTGTCACAAAAAAATCCCTATATCTGCAGTACCGTTCATTTCATCTTGGTGCACAAGCCTTCGGTATACATAGTTACATGTATGTACTTTTTGAGTTCGTCTATGTGCTTTTTGTACTGGATTTCCGATGCACATATGGTGTCTCTCTTGACATCCGCCCCCATATTGCCTTGGCTATTTCCATGATGTTGAAGTCATAGAAACATGAAAAACATCCAGCCGAGATTGAAAAAATCGATAACTATGTATTCGCGATAATTAACCTCATTCCAGTGCTGTCATTCTGTAATACAAATTCAATATTTACTTCCGTTTTCAAGCGATTTTTAAACTTATCTACAATAATAATCAACGCCATATCTTTGTTTATTATATGTTTTATTAAAGACGTATCCTTCCCCGTCATCTACTTGTCCTCTCTGACCAGAGCAATTCGCATATCACGATGATCAGTTTGTCACCTGAAAGTAAAGGATTGTTTGTTTAATCTGAGTTTTACAAGAAGACATTTCTAACTAAAAAGATCAAATTTTAAATTAATCAACACAATCCTTTCTGTGGTAGCTCATGTCGTATTATCTCCCGTCAGTGGTAACTCATGTCATAGGTATCTCCCGTCAGTTGTAGCTCATGTCATAGGTACCTCCCGTCAGTGGTAGCTCATGTCATATGTATCTCCCGTCAGTAGTAGCTAATGTCATATGTATCTCCCGTCAGTGGTAGCTAATGTCATATGTTTCTCACGTCAGTGGTAGCTTATGTCATATGTACCTCCCGTCAGTGGTAGCTCATGTCATAGGTACCTCCCGTCAGTGGTAGCTCATGTCATATGTATCTCCCGTCAGTGGTAACTCATGTCATACATATCTCCCGTCAGTGGTAGCTCATGTCATATGTATCTCCCGTCAGTTGTAGCTCATGTCATACGTATATCCTGCCACTGGTAGCTCATATCATTGGTATCTCCTGTCAGTAGTAGCTCCTGTCATATGTATCTCCCGTCAGTGGTAGCTCATGTCATAGGTATCTCCCGTCAGTGGTAGCTCATGTCATAGGTATCTCCGGCCACTGGTAGCTCATGTCATTGGTGACTCACACACGTAATAGCCTATATAATTGGTAAATGTGTTTGTGGTATCTAAATATATCGTTAACTCATGTCAGTGGTAGTTAGTCATTGATAACTCATCTGAGTTGTAGCTCAGGTTATTTATAACTTGTATCAGTGATGTTAACACAGTATTATAAAGGTAATTTCAAATTGCTTTTCAGTCTAGGTCCATTATTTTTTCTTATTCTATTACTAAACATTTTCTAATTCTAAAATTCTATTAGATCAAGTTTAATTAAATGCTAAACATAATTATATATGGATGGCTCTGTCAATGGGTTTTCTCCATCACTAATACTAGAGAAATTAATAATACACGAGACATATGTGCTACATAAATCTCTTCTGTGTAAACACAAGAAGTTTTCAACACTCATATTAAAATGTGATTATACAACTGTAAACATCATTGTATAATGAAATGTAACCTGTAGGATCTACAGAACAGGTGTCCTGTTTCACTGCCTGGTAAACACGACTAATAGGGTGTGATAACATATTAATATATACTGAGTGGTAAACCGGTAACACTGATACAAAGTGCGAGCGTTCCATTACAATATCAATTACATCATTCTTCCGGGATTTTTAACTTGCTGAAAGAATGCGACGAAGTCTAACGACCAGATAAATTTAGGTCCATTTGATATGAATTTTAGAGTAGGTAAACAAAAATTATTGTATCAATATTTTGCATACTTTATCTGTCAAACGTTCAAACTGAGTAACGGATTTCACTGTAACAAGGCCCTTATGTAAACATTTCTCCCCCACAAATATAACACTGCATGCTTCTTTCCTTGACAAACATCATAGTGATTATGTTGACTACACAAATATCTCACAACTGATAGCGTTTTTTCTGACTTTTTCAGCACACTTCTTTGGCAAGTTAATGAATTTTAAATTTATTGGTTAAAATGTTTTATTAATATTATTTGATATTGTTTAAAATTCTAAAAGGTAAGATTTCATTATACGTCATTTCAAATACACTTGATCCTTGAATTCAGCAGGACCATGGGAAAACTTTGATAACCAAGTGAGTATGAAGTTTTTGTAAAGTTAGGCATGGGGTGACGGAAGGCTTCGAATTAAACATGGTTTTTGATGTATATAAGTTCGAGATAACGAGGTTTGACCATATGGCATGATGAGTTCTTTTCAAATCATATGATACAAAAAAATTACATTATATATAAGTTAATGTCTTTACTTTCTAAATTACTTTGATGAAACAAACATAAAGTCTAAGACAATGGCCCAAATTCCAAGTTTGTAGGAATGGTCACTTTGCAATTTCAAAATATTACTGTACTATTTTAGGAACATCTATTTTTAGATTTGTTTGTGTTTATAAAAAGATTTTCATATCTGTAGAAGTATCCCATACAAGCTTTGATACATACTTCAGGCTGTAATTAAATCAAAGGTTATCAAAAGTCAGCCAATGAGATGAAAACTAATTTTGAAGAGAATACTTTCAAGATATTGACTTTACATCGATGGTCTGATGTGTAAGCTGAACATTCTGAGATCCATTTCTTGGCTACCGGAGATCGATATTGACTCTATATCGATGGTCTGATGTGTTAGCTGAACATTCTGAGATCCATTTCTTGGCTACCGGAGATCGATATTGATTTTATATCGATGGTCTGGTGTGTTAGCTGAACATTCTGAGATCCATTTCTTGGCTACCGGAGATCGATATTGATTTTATATCGATGGTCTGATATGTTAGCTGAACATTCTGAGATCCATTTCTTATCTACCGGAGATCGATATTGATTTTATATCGATGGTCTGATGTGTTAGCTGAACATTCTGAGATCCATTTCTTGGCTACCGGAGATCGATATTGATTTTATATCGATGGTCTGATATGTTAGCTGAACATTCTGAGATCCATTTCTTGGCTACCGGATATCGATATTGAGAGAATTAATTTTTTGCTGCGCACATTATGTAGGCTTTTATGATCTGCCTGTATATCAAACTTACCTAGCAGGTCCAGTGATGGATTCGCTAATTTTCTCTCCAAAAGTTTATCCAGTAACTTCCTCAATTCACGGAATATAACTCCAGTCTTAGCAAATGCCTGAATGAGAAAAAAAACTGTTCTTAAAATATCATTCAAGACGTTTTTCCTCACTTGTGTAAACGTTGCCAACCTTCATTGATCAAATAAATTTGTCATAACCCTTTTTTAAACGTCATCAAACAAATATGAAGCATAATCAATTGTATTTCATAATTTTCACAATAACTGAAAATTCCAAAATTTGATTTCAACATAATCCACTTTTAGACTGACTTGAATGAATTTAATATCTGAATGACCTGATGAAATCAACTGAATCTAGGGTGATACATTTTATCTAAGTTTTCACAAAACAGACATCAAGGTTGTAGATATACATGTTTTTTTATATCATAACCGTTAGACATTAACCATGTGGCTTTCCTTACAAAAGTCGCATAGAAATTGTTACGACGGGGTTTGATTGATAAGCTGTGAGCCTCATAATTAAGGGCTTGGCAGACATATTGCATTATTTTCCAACCTGATCCCTTTCAGTATCTTTACAATTCAGCCAGCCATGTTTAAGGGCCTCAATCCCACATTCAATGGAATCCTTTTTTTGACTGTTCAGAAAGTCGTCCACTGCACTCGGTATGTATATTGTCATGTATGATGGCATTGTTTGACCAAAAGAGGGTATCGGAAATGGCTTTTTCAGTTCTGGGTATCGATGAGAGTCTAATGGAGCGAGATCAGGCGAATAAGGCGGATGCTCATTCAATTTAATGCCACAATCATTAATGGCAGCCATGGCAATGACAGACTTGTGAACAGAGGCATTGTCCAGGTAGAGCAACACACCTTTACTGAGTTTTCCATAGTACTTGAGTTTAACATTTTCTCTTTAACGCCTAAGAACTGATGCATAATACAGTCAAACCTTACCATATTGAAATCTTTGGGGAATGGAATATTACTGAAAATTAACCAGGTTTCAAATTCACAGGTATAAGCCTTTTCTAGCACCTTGGCCTATCACTCGTTTATGATGAAACAAAGCATACGTATATATACATTCTTTCTACAATTTGATAAATACTTCATCAGAAACAGCTTTGTAGTTTATCTACTGCTTGAATAAGTTTATGTTTTTCATCAATTGTCAGTTGTTTACACTTGTTGCTTGAGGAAGCCATTGTAAAACAACTATCGCTCTCTTCTCTATACAAAGTTAAACTAACCAAAACATTTGTTTAAATAACAGACACAGTTCATTGATTAATACTCATAGTTCATTTCTTTTGTATCATATTTTTACCTGGACATTGAACTAGAGACACAGACGCACCAAAGCGTGACGAAAATGCTCACGGACCCCGGGGTGGCCTTCAATTTAAACGATGTGAAAACAGTTCATAAGTACTACATAGGGCCAGTATTTATCTTTCAAATAATGCGAGATTTCAAATTAACCGATTTTAAAATAAACAAGGTGAACATACTAAGTAAAAGAAGACATTTTGACGGTTATTTGTTTTTCATTTCAAATTAACCAGTTTTTCAATATAACTGAGTTCAAATTAAGTGGGTTCGACTGTATTTGCCACAGACTGTTTGTTCCTTCTGCAGATAATCTAATTCAGAATACCAACAGCATCTCAGAAATCCGAGGCCATAACCTTTCCAGCTGATGGAATAGTCTTTGCCTTCTTTGGTAGGGTGAAACAGGGTGCTTCCATTGTTAAGGCTATTGTTTGGCCTCTAGGTGAAATGATGGACCCACGATTCATCCACAGCCACTAACCCCTGCAGAACCTTAGCAGGATCTGCATGTAAAACGTTCATATTAGCACGCTACCAGACCTCTCTGTTGTGTTTAAGATCAACTGTCAGAAATCTTGGTACCCAATGGGCCGAGAGCTTTCTCGTTGCAAGATCTTCTGTAAGAAGGGGTGTACGCTTTCCCATGAAATCCCTATTGTACTGACTGTCAGTCAAAACAATATCATGGCATTTACTGACCATTGCGGGGGTTGCCAAAATGACTGGCCTTCCAGGAAGGGTGTCATCCCCAAGGCTCTGCATGACATGTTTAAATTCCGTCACCCATTTGTTCACTGAAGCATATGAAGGGGCATCATTCCCTAGTGTTGCTACCATATCAGGATGGATATCCTTAGGTATTAGACCTTTCTTATGCAAATATTTAACCACTGCTCTTTCAGCAATTTTGTCCATTTTGCAAAAGTCACCTCACTTGCCTTGCCACTGACCGAATGACACCGGCCTCCTGGTACACAGCCTTAAAGAGTTAGGGAATAGTTGAGTTAAAAAAGAATATCCCTGCTTAACTCCTTCAATACAAGGCTAACAACTTATCAATCAGTCCTTGTAAGTTCAAACGGATAAATGATTTACAATTAATTTACTATCAGGATGAAGTTTTATCATAATTCTTCTTGATTTAATCAAAGCTTATCAATACATTACAAATCATGCAATGTACACCATCTAATGAACTTGAATGTAAATAAAATTCCAGAAATTAATTCTTAATACTCTTGTGACAATCAGGAACAATGTAAGAAAATGGTAAGGCTTTATTTCAACAAAGGACAACCACATCCTTGAAATATTTTATACAATCATTTCAGTATGTATAATATACAACAATATCAGTCTTTTCTCGCACCTCAGACAGGGATGTCCCACATAATAACCTATCCTAAGATTTTTTTCTATCATGTAGGCGTAGTTAGCACATACATCCTTGCATTTCAACATAAACATAGACTATATCACTGTTAAAATTTCAACGATATTCTGTTTAATTAATCATATTTATAATGAAATAGCGTGGCCCCTAACTCTTGAAAGGTAGCACAGTATTTTTATTTGCGGCCTACATTGTTTATGTGGCACTATCTAAATTTAATAGTGAAGAGGCTGTGTTGGTAGTCTGAGGCTCCCATGGGATATGCAAAACTCTGATGAAATATTGAATAATTTTCAGAGTAGTAAGTGCAAGAAAAAAATCTATAACCTGTAACCGAGTAAGATCGGGGTATGTTAGTCCTGGGCGAAGATCCTGTAACATCCTAACCTCGGCTAAAGCCTTGGTTGGGATTATTTTACAGGATATCAGTGAAAGGCTGTGTTAGATTTTACTTATCAGCTTCATAGGGAGCCATTAACATCTCGGTCTGAAAGCAATCCCAGGCAAACTAGAGCACTGAAACGTCAGAAAGGGCATCGCAAACTAAACTGATGAAATTTTGATAAAAATACTTATATGTGTCGAATAAAAACTTTGAAATATGTTTAATGGCATTTAACAATGACTGAATAAAGTAATAATTAATTGTAGGTTGTGTAAGGAAATAGTCTCATCTTTGTGATTCTTATTTCCTTTTTTATCCTCCTGTTCCATGGTGACTTTTCATTAAACGAAGATAATCTTTGATTCTTTTGAATAATATTGAAACAAAAAATAATTTACAAGTTGAGAAAAAGAATGTTTACGATGAGATCTGAATGACTTACTAGTTTCATATTTAATATTCTGGTTCATACTGTCATATAGTACGTATTTACCAGTAAAAACCCCACTAACCTTGATCTCTAATCAAGAATTTCCTCATTCAACTCTGGAAAATTTTGCTTCATTCAAAAGTTGACCTTAATCTTTGACCTAATTAATTTGAGTAGTCTAGCTACTCACTTCATTTCAAAATTGATCCCAATTGTTATTGCATTTATTTGTAATGTTATATGTGTGTGTTAAATGTATGCATTAACAATAAAGTATTTTTGAGATATATTTTGAGAAATTTGGTCCACATCTTTGCATTTGTGACCTTGACCCCTAGGCAAGAAACCTTTAATTTATTCAGTCAATTTTGCTTCATTATGTCATAAAAGAATTTTTACTAGCATCACTCATTTTCCAGGACAGCTTGTGTTTCTAAGGAAGCTGTGACCACAGATTTTCCAAGGCAGCCATAGCTATGTCCTCAGGTAGGACATTTTATTTAAGATGTTTTAAAAACCATGTGGCTGGCCTCCCACATACTATTCAGTGAGGTATGAACCACGATGTGGACACATTGGGAATAGGGAAGCCTATCACAGCGTAACAAATATAAAACAGTAATTATGTTGTAACACTGACAGTTGTATGCTTGCTGTAAAGGGAACTAAGAAAGAAAAATAACTGGACAACATTCTCTTGACAGGTGTTAATGGTGTTGATAAAATACAGTTTTCTGAGAACTTTGTCAAGTTTTCTTTTTCGTCTACATTTTTAGTTTCTGAACTGGACTCTGCTTTTCCCAAGGAATCCATTCTACAGAAGAATCAACATCAATACTGATTTCCCTGTATCAGGACTTCAGATATTTTTTCTGTTGTATAAGAAAGAATACATAAAAATTGTGGTATATTTACCGTAAAGGAAATTCTGTCATCTATAGTGACTAATTGGTCTGTATGCTGAACATGTATATCACCACCAAACAACAACAAGGAATACGGAGAGACAAGAGTAACCTCCCTTAGGTACACCTTTGATGTTGTCACCTAAAATTATAACAATAAGAACACATATATTTTAATATCAATAATGTACAGAACCTGGCATAGCTTTTCTAATAAACTGATAATTTTATTATTCATATACATGTATATGTACTGAAGACATCTCAATTTATGTATATTGAATCGGGTAGTTTCCATGAAATGCAGTAATTCTGTACAAATAATTATAGATAATTAAATTAAAAAGAAAACTCAACAACACAAAGTGTTTGTTTTAACATTGCCTACATGTACAAATATTTGTATAGTAAACAAAGATAAGTATCATGCTGAAGATATCTCCATCCCATTTTGACATGTTTTCTAATTTTATTCAATTCAACCAGTGATTAAATATTTTTATTTAAGTGAATTTTCTCTCATGGGTGACCATATCTGTGTAAACTTCCACATGAATTTAAATATAATTTAAAATGTGAATTTTTTTTACATTTATACCCTTCATTTAAAAAAAAATTAATCATCATTGACAAAGTTAATCCATGTGTATATTTATCAATAATCAATGATGTCATGAGATCACTGAAATAATTGACAACTCCAAAATAATAATGACAAACATAGAAACTTACTTAAAACTTGGAATTCACTCTTTTCTGTACAACTTTTATCTTTTCAGTCAAAAAATAAGTTATGGCAGACATTTTACTGTTGGGTACATTTTAATATATCTGGAGTTCTGTAACAAGTGTTAATGACCAACAGTATAATATTATCAGTTCAGATTTCTTGTTTTATCTAATCTTCCTTAAAGATTTTCTTTCATGAAGAGTAAAATTTTGACTTTTTTTAAGACCTGAAATACCATTTACCCTTGGCCCTGTCCAAAAGCACAGTTGGTGATCAAAAACCTATACTTAATAATTTGAAAAAACCATCAGATGAATGACTGTGTGTTGCTAATAAAATCCACTTCTATTTCTATATACTAACCTTCTCTTGATATGCTATCCATCCATTGGATGCTAGGGTCCGGTTGACAGAGGAGGGATGTACACCAGCTGGACCCTGGGCGGTCTCACCCACACATACATGGTTCCTGCGAGGATGAGCAGCTGCATCGACTGGAGCACTGTATGTTATCTTGGCAACATTTGGATACAGACCAGCAGCAATGACTGCCTTCAACATGGCAACAGTTTTTAAGTCAATATCTGTACTTGTTCCAACAGTAGATTTACTTATTTCAAGTACAGATCCAGGTGCGACTGTTGTCATTTGCTTTTGTGAATGTCTGGAATCCCCAAAGCCGATAGACTTTACAAGTCGAATCAAATCATTTGATAAATTCTGGAAGTTGAAAAGTAAAAACATTTTATAATTTAATACATATTAGGCTGCTGCAATATGCCATGACAACAGTAAGAAACTAGATTTTCAGAAACATCACAGTGACAATAAACATGGTACATTTACCACAAAACACAGAGACACCAAAAAACATAGTAAACCACCAGAAAAAACAAGAGATCCCAGAGGGATCTTGGCGCCCACCATTTGAGGATCTGTTTTCAGTTCTTGAAGATTTTTTTTTGTTTGTTACAGGTGTTGTAAATGTTCATGAACTGGTCTTCATTGAATTTACTCAATGATGGCACAAGATATTTTCATTAAGCACCTATTAGCAAATATCATTTGAAAAAGATCCCAAAGTATTATTAGATAGCAGTCAGTTACAGGTGGATAATGGACAATATGCTTGTGCTGTATTACTGTCGACATCCAAGATGGCTGCCTGTGGGCCACCTTGATTTCAAATCAGTCCAAAACAGGTACAATGCACAACTAGGGACCAAGGGAAACCAATATCAATGAAATATCAGAAGGATCCATCCTGGACTTCCTCAGATATAGCAGTAACAAGATTTTACTCTCAAAATCCAAGATGGCTGCCTGTCAGCCATCTTGATTTCGGATCAGTCCAAAAAGGTATAATGCACAACTTGGAACCAAAGGGAACCTGCATATGAAATTTGAGAAAGATCCATCCAGTACTTTCCAAGAAATAGCAGTAACAAACTTTTACATTCAAAATCCAAGATGGCCACCTGTCTGCCATCTTGAATTCGAATCAGTCCAGAAAAGGTACAATGCACAACTAGGGACCAAGGGGAACCTGCATATGAAATTTGAGAAAGATCCATCCAGTACTTTCCAAGAAATAGCAGTAACAAACTTTTACATCCAAAATCCAAGATGGCCACCTGTCGGCCATCTGGAATTCGAATCAGTCAAAAAAAGGTACAATGCACAACTAGGGACCAAGGGGAACCTGCATATGAAATTTGAGAAATATCCATCCAGTACTTTCCAAGAAATAGCAGTAACAAACTTTTACATCCAAAATCCAAGATGGCCACCTGTCGGCCATCTTGAATTCGAATCAGTCACAAAAAGGTACAATGCACAACTAGGGACCAAGGGGAACCTGCATATGAAATTTGAGAAAGATCCATCCAGTACTTTCCAAGAAATAGCAGTAACAAACTTTTACATCCAAAATCCAAGATGGCCACCTGTCGGCCATCTTGAATTCGAATCAGTCAAAAAAAGGTACAATGCACAACTAGGGACCAAGGGGAACCTGCATATGAAATTTGGGAAAGATCCATCCAGTACTTTCCAAGAAATAGCAGTAACAAACTTTTACTTCCAAAATCCAAGATGGTTGCCTGTCGGCCATCTTGAATTCGAATCAGTCCAAAAAAGGTACAATGCACAACTAGGGACCAAGGGGAAACTGCATATGAAATTTGAGGAAGATCCATTTAGTACTTTCTAAGAAATAGCGGTAACAAACTTTTACTTCCAAAATCCAAGATGGCCACCTGTCGGCCATCTTGAATTCGAATCAGTCCAAAAAAGGTACAATGCACAACTAGGGACCAAGGGGAACCTGCATATGAAATTTGAGAAATATCCATCCAGTACTTTTCCAGAAATAGCGGTAACAAACTTTTACTTCCAAAATCCAAGATGGCCACCTGTCGGCCATCTTGAATGCGAATAAGTTCAAAAAAGGTACAATGCACAACTAGGGACTAAGGGGAACCTGCATATGAAATTCAGTACTTTTCCAGAAATAGCGGTAACAAGAATTGTTTACGGACGGACGGACGCCCAGCCGGACGGACGGACCACGGACCACGGACGCAAGGCGATTTGAATAACCCACCATCTATTTGAATAGATGGTGGGCTAAAAATGTAAAAATACAATAAATTTATATATATTCCACAAAACACAGAGACACCAAAAAAGATAGTTATGATAGCCACCAGAAAAAATGTAAAAACACAATCAAGTTATTACTAAATCAATCAATGCTTACCTCTATCTCCAGCAGTGTGTTCCTTCTAAGAAAGTACTTTTGACAGTACTGTTGTTCTACATGACCACTTTCTCTTTTGGTCTGTTGCCACCTGTATATCAAACCAATATCACTGTTTATTAGGAAATCCACATCTTATTAAATATATATATATGTAGATAAGGAAAAGACCTAACTCGTCTCTGTAGCGAAGGGGCATAACTCTCAATTTTTGAGATACTTTGTCATCTATATTTTATTCTGTCATATACATTCAATTGGAAACTAATCATGTTTTTTAAAACTATTTTTTTTCTTTTTTGAATTTATTTTCAAGGTTTATATTAAAATTCCATTCAATGCATGGAAGTATACTGTAAAAAATAATCCTTATATTCTCTGTGAAAAATGTATGAAACTGCTGCCTTTGCATACCAAAAAATAAATCATAATTTTTTAATTTAATACATAAAAAAATTTAGTAACTAAATGTGATCATCACAGATAACATCAACATAAAAACTAATCTTTTCACCAATTGGATGCTGACAGATGACGGACAAAACAGACAAATAAATAGTAATTACAAATTACCCAAGATAAGCCTTGTAGACTGTCAGGTGATCTGAAGCAGCAGTTGCCATGGATACTTTAGCAGCTTGGGCAAGGTCAAGTTTCTGTATAGGAGCTACAAATGGAGATTTGGTTGTCATAGCAGCTGCAATCACTGCCTGGAACAGGAAATTAGTATCATCAGTTATTAGTTATCAATATTTTTAATCAACTACACACAAGCAGCTTTTGAGAGATTTCCTATATGGTCAAAAGCATGAATCTGTGGTTTGGTTTAAAGGATGATGCTAATATTTACTTCGCATGTGAAGAAATAAGTTTATCATACTCACCACAGGTTCAAGGTATCCAAATATTGCACCAATCAGAAGAACTTTGCCAATGCGTACGTGGACAGGAAGTGCAGCTAGATGGTGACCTAAAGGGGTCAGTATTGATCCCTCCTGACACGCCCCTACTTCGTGCAGCATCCCCATGGCCCTGGCAATCACATTAGGTCTGGGAGGGTCCAGGGCTTCAGACAAAAAGTGCTCCGGTTCTCCTAGATCACATTTCTGTAACATTCACAGTTAATGGTTTATGCTAGATTACTGCAAATTGGATCTCTTTTTGTTTGAAGAGTTGCTAAAATAAGCTATATATCAACTAACCATTATCATCACACACCTTACCAAGGCTGACATTGATATTAAAAATTCATCATGATGATAATTCTGGACATCATTTTGAACTGTTTTAGCAATCAAAATATCTGTTAGGGAGAGAAATTACATTGATTGATGTAATGAGTGATGTGTCATTTAACCTATACTTCTAAATAAACACAGGTAAAATATGTAAGGTAATTTATATATAGGTATAAAGTGATAAGTGCCATGTAAGATTTAACTCTTATGATTCAGAGTTATAATTAGTCAGGTAGCATACAGCCTTAACTCCAATATAAACACAGAACTGGTACTTTAACATAGCCGCCATAGGCAAGAGCTAACCCAAGATCCTCACTACACTTACCATGATGTGTAAACAGAGTTCCTCCAGAGGAACTCTCTGTATCTCAGGTACAGTATACGGGGCCATGTCCTGGTATCTATGGAAAATTAAAACATTATTTTGTAAAAGTTTATCAAATAATCAGATTTAAATTGAAAAAGAATATATTATAAGTATTTCTGTATTGACAGCCATCCAAACAAACATCATATGTTAACTGGATAAAATGGCAGCCAAAATGTTCTTTTCATTGAAGTAGACAACTGTGTAACCACTTTTGAGAAACAATACAAAGAAAACGAGATCCAAGGTCTGTTCTGGTAGATTCAGTAATATCGACAGTCTTCCTAGGGTGGATTCCTAGTGGAATACAGGAGTCAAGTTAAAAAATGTGTAAACAGGAAATATAGAGGACCAGATAACATCCTATGGAAGTCAAATATGCCACACCTATCAACCCATGATCAGCTATGGGCAGTCATTCTTTTACTTTCATCAACTGACACAGATTGGACAATACTTTCAATGAAGAAAGCTACTTTTGCCCTTTAATTCCACATGAATAGCCCTTACCTTACTTTAAGGAACAGTGTTGTTCTCTTACTTTTAATACAGTGAGAGATCTTTCAACTGCTTGTGATTTTCTTACTGTGATAAATGAACCAATGACCTAAAGGGAGATAACTTTCTATAAGTGTGAAAAACAAAGAGAACAAATGAACTGAAGGGAGATAACCTTCTGTAATAGTCAGAAACAAGGAGAACAAAGAAATGAAGGGAAATAACCTTCTGTATTTGTGGGAAACAAGGAGAGCCAATGAACTAAAGGGAGATAACCGTCTGTATTAGTCAGAAACAAGAACAAAGAAATGAATGGAGATAACCTTCTGTAATTGTGGGAAACAAGGGGAGCCAATGAACTAAGGGGAGATAACCGTCTGTATTAGTCAGAAACAAGAACAAAGAAATGAAGGGAAATAACCTTCTGTATTTGTGGGAAACAAGGGAAGCCAATGAACTAAAGGGAGATAACCGTCTGTATTAGTCAGAAACAAGAACAAAGAAATGAAGGGAGATAACCTTCTGTAAGTCTGAGAAACAAAAACAACCAATAAAGTGAGATAACTTTTTCTTACCATAACAATGGTAAATACAGAGCATTGATAAAGGGAGATAAATCCTTTCACAGTTGTGTCCATGTCCATGTCTTCTCCTATAAAGACCTTACAAATGCTGTTTCATCTTTGAAAACTTATCTACAATTAGTTATGGGAAACCAGTTCCTTACCTTTCTTTGGTATACATCCTAAAACAGAAGCCTTCTCTGACTCGACCAGCTCTTCCCTGTCTCTGTTTAGCATTAGCCTTACTGATGTATACCTCCCTCAGAGCACTCATCTGACTAGACTCCATGTACCTATAATCATCAAAATGTCAATTAATATTCATCAACACATACCTTTCAATGGTACATATTTTACATACATTGTCGTTAGATAACGTAATCATGCTTATCAGCCCTCAGGGGCCTGAAGGAGAGGATCTAAGAGAGAAATGTGGAATTAATTAAATTTTTCAACCCCTTTAGTGTGAATAGGGGAATCTCAACCCGAGGGGTAAGATTATTGAGTTGTCAAACATGAGGCTTACTGAGTGTATGAAATGTTTCTTACCCTGTTTTCTATGTCTGAGTGTAAGACAAATGTATTGTGTGTAAACAAAAACGTGTGGATGGCGTATGAATAATGATGAGTCCAGAACCTCAGATGTTTCATGCATTGTGATTTAATCTTACACAAAAATAGTGTACATGTCACAATAATGTTCAATAAAATTATTCCCTTGATATCTATATATCTTAAACAATGAATTGAGGATTAAAATGAGTTTCAATCTTAATGTTAACACAGAATTTTCAGTTTTGAAGATAACCTGTGATTTCAGAAGCAGACTAACTAGTGTATGTGTGTGACCTTATAAAAGTAGTTCCACTTCCGGGTCACACCAGTGACATCACTTTTTGGAAAGTTTTCCAAATGTAAAAATAGTATTGTGAGGCTTTTCTCAATCCAAGGGTAAGATAAGGAAATCTCACACAAGGAAAAAGAGAAGATTTATCTGTCCAGGGTAAGAGAATACATGTGGAAAACGACAGGCTTTGGAGGATGACCTAGTAATTTCTCATTATGTTGGTGAGACAAACCCCAGCTGTCATGGTGAAAAGGAAGTGTAATATCTACTTTCACTCACATGATTACCCTGTATCACTATCAACTCCACTAAAACATCACAGCAGGGATATGACCAATTTTCAAGTCAAACATTCTGTTATCTAATAAATTCTATATATATAATGTTTCTCATTTTCATTTTTAAAATACCTGATGCATACCTGCAGCAAGCAAATATTTATCAGTCAGACAAATTGTTAACTTAAAATAATTACAAAGCTACCAAAAAAGGCATATAACATTATGGTAAAGTTGACATTATAAAAACAACATGGTTGTTTTACTGAGCAAAAGTAAATTTGTATTGTAATGAAAAATGCCAGTACAAATAATGTAAGATACTTTCATATGTATTTAAGGAATTATTGGAATATTTATTTGAAAACTTGTATGATTGGGCATCCTACAAAACTCTGTGTTGTATTCAGCAATGTCTTATCAAGTGCTGCAGTCAAACCTTGCTTTCTCCAACTCATAAAACTCCAAGACCCTGTTCAATTGCAAACATTTTGGCGATTCCTGCCTAATTTTACATAAAACATTAAAACTCACTGCAATTGAATACTTGGTAATCTCAAAGTTTCCCTATGGTCCCTTAAGTTTCAGATAACCAAGTTCAACTGTATGTTTTTATCTGATATGTAAATTAATTCTGTTTAAATAAACTAAATTTTTTTCCCATTGATTTAAATTTTTTTGAATTCAATAAAAAATTGAACTTTTTGCGAAATAGACTACTGTTTTCTTTTTCAGTTATTTTTTAAACGTCACAATGTTGACTCATCTCAGTTTATTTCATCCTCGAAAAGAGAGAAAATTAAAACCCCTTGAAAATAACCAGTGTCTTTTATATAGACAATGAATGCCATAACAAGACAATTCAATACATAAAGGCTGAATATGTGGAATAAAGTTTCTCAAAAAGTATATAATTCAGCTTTGTCAGATTACAGGGTAGGAAAATGAACTTGTAAAATTGTTTATTGTTATTTTAAATTGAATTCAATAAAAAATTCCAAAAAAGAAAACTATCTTGTATGCTGGGGCACTAATTCCTGCCAGCACTCTATAAAGCAAAAATGAATACACAGCACAAATATAGAATCTTACCGATTTTCCTTCACTTTCCCCGTGTCAATAACGAAGACAACATCTGGTATGGTGATACCAGTTTCTGCTATGTTGGTTGCTATGACAACCTTCCTAATTCCTGGAGGTGGGACTCTGAAAGCCTCATTCTGGTCTGAGGATGACAGGATGGAATGTAAGGCAATCACTTGGTACCTGGTAAAAAAGAAAACCAACATGTAACATGCTAATCCATTCACCATAAAATATTGAGAGTACACATGAACATTTCATTGGCAAATTTGCATATATTTCTTAACATACATTTTTACATGTCAAACATCCTCCTAGATATGATGAAATAACCCATCAATTCATCCTTGGATGTTTTATATACAAAAAATGAAAATTTAAAAATGATCACTTTTGACGACTCATTTCTGTGAATAAAATAGTGAGTTGTGGACCAACAGATGAAAAATAAATTTATTTCAATAGTGTATGTTATAAAAAAAAAAGTTTACCAAGAAATATGGCTGATTTGGGAAAAAAGTACCAAACAATATAAACTTGAAACTAATTCAGTAGAAAAGGTGCACACATAAAAATTGTTATCCTCAGTTTTCATACTGTAGTTTCATTCTGACATCATTTTGCTTCAAATTGTCATTCTCATTCAAATGATGATTTTACGCCCATGTGTGCTTCTCGGCAACTGCAAGTTCACTCAAGTGTCTTGATTCACTGCTCAGTTTTTCTATAAATCTTTTAGTATGAACACAACATATGATTTTTAAGGAGTCCGAAATCAATGCACCAGGGATATATACAAGAAGTCATATTGGATCTGTACTTTTGAGATTTTGTACTTACTGTAGAGATTTTGGACCTACCATAGAAATTTTATCCAAACTTTCAGAGTTTATCCAACAAAAATTTTGAAATTGTACCCACTTATTTAGAATTAAACCAATTCTTGAGATTTTACCCAACATTTAAGATTTTACCAGACATCTTAGATTATACCCAATATTTAAGATTTTACCAAACATTCAAGATTATACCCAATATTTAAGAAATATTTTTCCTACATTTCACATTTTGTACCTACCTCTGAGATTTTGTAAAGTTACGGTCGGCCATCAGTAGCTCATACAGTTCCTGGATATCGGCCAAACCAGGCATAAAAATGAGGACTGCTCCTTCTACCTGGGAAAACTCAGGACTTTTCTCCAAGTAACACAACAGTTCCTGTAATGAAACAAAAAATTCACATTTGTGTTTCCCATGAAAATATTGAACTTTAACATTTGAGTAGAACCCTATTGTTCAATCAAAGTTTAAAATCTTTCCTCAAATTAAAATTTGATCTAATTCAAATCCAAACAAGTTGGAACAAAAGATGTTTACAGATTGTGAATTTTAAATTTGATTCTTCCTGATAACTGTAGTGTCACGGAAGATGGTTTTGATAAATTATAAGCACCTCGAAAACAATATACATGCACCATTTGGTAATTTTTACATGGTTCCTATCTTCTAAATCATTTCACACAACATCACATAGTATTTTGTCTGCTTTGCCAAAGCAAGAAGCAATTTTCCTCATCTATTAGAATCTCTGTTTGCATCAGACACTGACCACAATAAGCTCCATGTTAATACGATCAGTGTTAGATCTGGTCACTGTGTTACGGGTTCGTAAACTGTACGTCTTAGGACACAGGTCAGTCTGAAAGTAAAACCACAAAAATAAGGGCTTGTAAAAGTTTGAGATGAAAATTTGAAAGTGAAGTAGAATATTTGGAAATGAATGCATAAAAGAGAAACACTTAACTTTACTGTATACATAAGAAAACGATATATTGGAGAGCCAACACTCTTGAGGTCTTGCGGTTATGTTCCTGGATGAATCCCACAGGGTATTCAATAGAGATCCTTAGAATGAGGTAAACATATAGATAAAATAAAGGATATTCAACATCCAAGAACTAGTGCTTATGTTTATTCTTATGAATAAACCATACTGTATAACGCACAATCAAAATACCTTCCACTTCTTTAATGAGTCTAATTGTTACATTATTATGTATTGTTACTTTATATCCTATTAACAGCCAAGGTCATCTAAGGACATGCCAGGTGAAGGAAAGCCGGAGTTTCCAGGGAAAAACCGCCAACGTGCAGCCAGTATCTAGCGACTGTCGTATGTAGGTTGTGAACCTGTGACCCAGAGATGGAGGACTAATGATGAAGACGGTCAGATGCTTTAACCACTTGGCCAATCACGACCCCAGGCAATGTATAACATGGAGATTAACATGATTGTGACTTTAGATCGTTTGTATTTCCTGTAAAATCACAGTTCACAAACCTGAGTCTATACTTTGTCATCCTACCGCGCCTTTATCGGTGTTTTGAAACTGAGTGTACAGTTACCCGTCGAAAAAACATGGGTACAAGTTCTGTACCCTAATTTAGGGTAAATGGACAACACTGCCTTATGTCCCTACCACATATTGCTTTCCTCTCAATTTAAATTCTTTACTAGAAAATGGAAAAACAAATTCAGTTTTCTCAATAAAAATCTGCCATCCATTTCTGTGGTAAATCTACGTGTCCCCAAACCTGTACTTGTAGATGGATTGTGTAGAATTTCTGGAAATACTTCAATGTTACATTATGAGACCCATCGGTTTTAGCAATAAGGTTGAGAATAACCCAGGAAAATAAATTGCAGATTGATCACTGTCATCTCAATATAATCAAAACATGGCAGAAAACGGATAACTTACTCGATCAATTTTGGATACATTCTCTTTTGTCCAGTAGACGTCCACATGTGTCTGCTCCCCACCTTTACCGGTAACAGCTAAATTAGCTTGTTCTTCCTAAAACATTTAACAAAACAATTCACGTAAATTTCAGTACATGTTGTAAATACACAAGAACTATTAGTACCGGCAATAAAAATGTTAATGCATTTACGTGTCCAGTCAAACTTCGTTATTTCGAAGTTGATTGAATGGTTGGAAAACTTCAAGTTATTCTTGTATTTGATTTAAGTGAGATCAAATGTTTGGTGAAAAGTTTCGCCGTGACAAATTAAATACTTTGAATTAAGCAGGGTCTATGGATTATATGAGTTTGAGATAACAATATTTAATTGTATATACTGGGTATGCTGCATTGTTGAGAAATGATATTAAAAAAAAAAACGAACTTGAATTGTATGTATATGAAACTTAATGCATTATTGTAAATGTACATACAACGGTGAGAAGTTACACAACTCAGATTGAGTTAATGAAGACAGAAATTAGAACTTAAGATGCATATTTTGACATAAATTACACATTTTAATACAATTATGATTCTTATTGCCCAGAAAAAATACTGGAAACACATCAGAGATAGAAAGGTGCTTTCATGTAATAATTCATTAAATTTTGGAAATTTTCCATCATGGTGGGTAACATTAAGTGAACTCATGTACATGAGTTTACTCTGAACGATCACTTTTTACAGGAAACAAGGAAAGTTAAGATAAGGAAGTTAATAGTAAAATAAAAACTGCCTGACTAAGGATAATTCCTGGATGTTTTATACGAACCTTGACTAACTGTTCTGGTCTCAGGGCATATGGTGAGTCATCATCCAGTACGTACAATGTACGTTCTATCACATCTTCCACGTGGTAAACCTGACGTGACAGTACATTATAACAGTAAGTGTACACATGGAACAGCAATGAGGAGCTAAAAGCATAAAAATAGTTATAACTCTACAGCAGAGGCAGCAATAATGCGATGAAGATCAAGACAGAAAATGTACAAAAGACATACATGTGAATAGCACCTTTTAATAACTTAAGAGTGAGATACATTAGAACCAAACAATGAATTAAACTGCATCATGCAGTTGTTTTGTCCTTGCATGACACGTCAATGACACTAAGGGCCTTAATGTCGAATGAGGAAAATCCGGAGTGATCAAAAGAAAAAACAAAATCTAGACGGAGAAATGCAGCAGCCCCATAATTACATAAATTTCAGAATTTTTATTATTTATCAAATAATTTTAGAACAGCGTCAAGTACATGTGTATTTCTGAACTGTGATACTATTGAATTGAATTAAAACATGGCATGAAGGTTACGGCTAACCTAGGGGACTATGTCCACCAGCAGTGTCTACCATCACCTATCCTAAAGATTGTACAAAAGACAAACAAGTGAATATAGCACCTTTTAATAATCTAGAATTAGATAAGCAGAGCCAAACCATGAATTAAATGCCATCCTTGGACAGACGTGGGGACTGATATTTGTTCCACCTCATAAAATTGATGGATGTTAAATTTCTATCACAATGACATCCTACCGCCACAGGAAAGGTCCGACCTGGTATGTTGATGACACTACAGTGATGGAAGTATGCAGAGAATTTATCACTGTCCAATGTAGCGCTCATCAGGATTATTTTCAGATCTGTCCGAACTGACAGAAGACGACGCAAGATGATGAGGAGGAAGTCTGACTGGACACTCCGCTCATGGACCTAACATAGAAAATAAATTAAATATGCAGTCTTATGAACTTCCGTGAAACAAATGAATCTTGTCCAAACTTTGAAAAAGTCACCTTCAAACAATAATGTGACAGAAAATCTTAAAAATCGCTCTCATCTGTTTCATGTTTACTTAACTAATGATAATTGTGCATGAAGTTTTCCTGTGAGTCTTTTTAAAGTTTAGCACAGTATGAATCTTAATACTTAATTACCTCATCAACTACAATGTGAGACACCTCTTTCAATGTGGGATCTGTCTGTAGTCTTCGTAGTAGCACCCCAGTCGTACAATACACCAAACGGGAATTAGGGCCACACTTGGACTCAAAACGTATTTGATAACCGACCAAAGAATCCTGGCGTCCAAGCGCACCCTCGCCCATCTCCTGGGAGACACGATGGCTGAGACTTGTTGCTGAAATTCTCCGAGGCTCAGTACAAACAATATTACACTTGTGTCCTTCTCCTTGGCTTACAAAGTACTGCAATCAACACATTTATTGTGTCAGTGAAATCGACAAAATAACCAAAATTTTTATGTCATTGTTTTGTCATAATCAACAATACAGTATGATACAAATTTCTATCGATGTTGATGTTTTTTGACATAAATTAGAAAAGTTAGCAAATGTTTTAGTCTAATATTTCCATTGGAATAGCTAAATCTATAAAAATACTCCATTGAGAAAACCTTTTTAGAGATAGACAAAGAAAATCAAATTGTGCTAGTGAATATTCTGTCTTCACCTCTAGTAAAAACTGCGGTATTTGAGTACTCTTGCCACTACCAGTTTCGCCAGCAATCACGACCACACTCTGACCCGCAATCATGTCCAGTATTGCGGTGCGGTGTTTATACACAGGCAACTCCTGTCTGGTTTTTAACAGAGTACGGAATCCATCGGATTGACAACGTTGTTTGAACAAGTCCTTCATTTCCCTGCCTGACATAGTTCCAGCCCTTCTCCGCGATTTTGTTAGGTGACTATATGACTTCATATCACCCGAAGATGGTTCAGATGGAATTAGCTCTGTGTCTTGTTCATTCTTGTCATCAGAGTCTTCAAACTCCTTAAATTGTACATAAAAAATGAAAGGAAATATTCATTTCTGTTTTTTAAATCTTTTACTTTTTTTAATTATGAAAAATTAACTGATATGTTTTTCCAGGTAGACAGCTTAAACATGACAACAAAACATCATGTCTACAAGGGCCTTATCTCTATTACTGTTATCAATTAATGTGAACAAAATTCTTTCAACTCAATAATTAGATTTTTCTGAGGAATTACTTTTTTGTGTCTGTCGGCTATTTTAATTGCCCATGACAACAGTAACATTTATTGCAAAATAAAGAGCTGTTTCATCAAGGGATTATTATTACACCTGAGTTTAAAGAATAATTATTTTTTCTTTTCAAGAAATATTATTTAGATAAGGTTACCATAGTATATAATGTAAATATGAACAATGGTTGTCAGACTGGTATGTAGCTTAAACTGGCTCACCTACATATTCCACATTCAATTTGCAAAATTGATTTGATAACAAAAATGAACCAATGTATCAGTATGTTACGTATGTTACACACAAACTGATATAAATTAAGAATCTCACGACTATATAGCATCATAAAACATATAAAAAAATGTTAAGACCATACACAGTTAATGATTAAAATCATACACAGTTAATGATTAAGACCATACACAGTTAATGATTAAGACCATACACAGGCAATGATTAAGACCATACACAGTTACTGATTAAGACCATACACAGTCAATGATTAAGACCATACACAGTTAATGATTAAGACCATACACAGTCAATGATTAAGACCATACACAGTTACTGATTAAGACCATACACAGTTAATGATTAAGACCACACACAGTCAATGATTAAGACCATACACAGTTAATGATTAAGACCATACACAGTTACTGATTAAGACCATACACAGTTACTGATTAAGACCATACACAGTTAATGATTAAGACCATACACAGTTACTGATTAAGACCATACACAGTTACTGATTAAGACCATACACAGTTAATGATTAAGACCATACACAGTTAATAGACCATACACAGTCAATGATTAAGACCATACACAGTCAATGATTAAGACCATACACAGTTACTGATTAAGACCATACACAGTTAATGATTAAGACCATACACAGTTAATGATTAAGACCATACACAGTTACTGATTAAGACCATACACAGTTAATGATTTAGACCATACACAGTTACTGATTAAGACCATACACAGTTACTGATTAAGACCATACACAGTCAATGATTAAGACCATACACAGTTACTGATTAAGACCATACATATTTAATGATTAAGACCATACACAGTTACTGATTAAGACCATACACAGTTACTGATTAAGACCATACACAACCATACACAGTCAATGATTAAGACCATACACAGTTAATGATTAAGACCATACACAGTCAATGATTAAGACCATACACAGTCAATGATTAAGACCATACACAGTTAATAGACCATACACAGTTACTGATTAAGACCATACACAGTTACTGATTAAGACCATACACAGTCAATGATTAAGACCATACACAATCAATGATTAAGACTATACACAGTCAATGATTAAGACCATACACAGTTACTGATTAAGACTATACACAGTTAATAGACCATACACAGTTAATGATTAAGACCATACACAGTTACTGATTAAGACCATACACAGTCAATGATTAAGACCATACACAATCAATGATTAAGACCATACACAGTCAATGATTAAGACCATACACAATCAATGATTAAGACTATACACAGTCAATGATTAAGACCATACACAGTTACTGATTAAGACTATACACAGTCAATGATTAAGACCATACACAGTTACTGATTAAGACCATACACATTTAATGATTAAGACCATACACAGTCAATGATTAAGACAATACACAATCAATGATTAAGACTATACACAGTCAATGATTAAGACCATACACAGTTACTGATTAAGACCATACACATTTAATGATTAAGACCATACACAGTCAATGATTAAGACTATACACAGTCAATGATTAAGACCATACACAGTTACTGATTAAGACCATACACATTTAATGATTAAGACCATACACAGTTACTGATTAAGACCATACACAGTTACTGATTAAGACCATACACAGTTACTGATTAAGACAATACACAGTTAATGATTAAGACTATACACAGTTAATGATTAAGACCATACACAGTCAATGATTAAGACCATACACAGTTAATGATTAAGACCATACACAGTTAATGATTAAAACCATACACAGTTAATGATTAAGACCATACACAGCCAATGATTAAGACCATACACAGTCAATGATTAAGACCATACACAGTTAATGATTAAGACCATACACAGTCAATGATTAAGACCATACACAGTTACTGATTAAGACCATACACAGTTACTGTTACTGATTAAGACCATACACAGTTACTGATTAAGACCATACACAGTTAATGATTAAGACCATACACAGTTACTGATTAAGACCATACATAGTCAATGATTAAGACCATACACAGTTACTGATTAAGACCATACACAGTAAATGATTAAGACCATACACAGTTACTGATTAAGACCATACACAGTTACCAATTAAGACCATACACAGTTAATAATTAAGACCATACACAGTTAATAGACCATACACAGTTACTGATTAAGACCATACACAGTTAATGATTAAGACCATGCACAGTTACTGATCAAGACCATACACAGTTAATGATTAAGACCATACACAGTTAATGATTAAGACCATACACAGTTAATGATTAAGACCATACACAGTCAATGATTAACTGAAAGTTGATTAAGATACCATATCATCCATGTCGTCTAGATCTTCCCAGGATTCCACAACATCATCTTCTTCTCCCTCAGGATCTGCTTCCATAACACTGATAGAGATTTTGAGCTTCTTCATCAATTTGCTGATGAATTGATCCCGAGGCTACAATCAGACATGTGTCAGTATGCAATACTATAAATGGGAGATGTGTACACTTGTTCAGCTTTTTTTGTAAATCAAATCTGTAGAGAGATTCTTGAGAATATTTTGTATACAACATTTTTATTTTGAAAGTGATCAAGAGTGACCTTTGACCTTTACTTTTAACAGAACCAGGACCATTAAAATCATATAAGGAATAGGACTTGATGATGTCATCTTCGAATATCATCAGGTACCTTGTAAGCAAATTCTTATTGAATTGCAGAAATGAAGCATGAGATGGAGAGACTTATGCAGAGATGGAGAGACTTAAACAGAGATGGACAGACTTATACCGAGATGGACAGACTTACACAGAGATGGACAGACTTAAGCAGAGATGGACAGACTTAAGCAGAGATGGACAGACTTATACCGAGATGGACAGACTTACACAGAGATGGACAGACTTAAGCAGAGATGGACAGACTTAAACAGAAGTGGAGAGACTTACACAGAGATGGAGAGACTTACGCATAGATGGACAGACTTACAATGGACAGACTTACACAGAGATGGACAGACTTACACAGAGATGGACAGACTTAGGCAGAGATGGACAGATTTACACAGAGATGGACAGATTTAGGCAGAGATGGACAGATTTACACAGAGATGGAGAGACTTACACAGAGATGGGGAGACTTAGGCAGAGATGGACAGACTTAAGCAGAGATGGACAGACTTAGGCAGAGATGGAGAGACTTACACAGAGATGGACAGACTTAAGCAGATGGACAGACTTAGGCAGAGATGGACAGACTTACACAGAGATGGACAGACTTAGGCAGAGATGGACAGACTTACAAAGAGATGGACAAACTTACACAGAGATGGACAGACTTACACAGAGATGGACAGACTTACACTGAGATGGACAGACTTACACAGTGATGGACAGACTTACACAGAGATGGAAATACTTAGGCAGAGATGGACAGACTTACACAGAGATGGACAGACTTACACAGAGATGGACAGACTTAGGCAGAGATGGACAGACTTACACAGAGATGGACAGACTTACACAGAGATGGACAGACTTACACTGAGATGGACAGACTTACACAGTGATGGACAGACTTACACAGAGATGGAAAGACTTAGGCAGAGATGGACAGACTTACACTGAGATGGACAGACTTACACAGAGATGGACAGACTTACACAGAGATGGACAGACTTACACTGAGATGGAAAGACTTAGGCAGAGATGGACAGACTTACACAGTGATGGAGAGACTTAGGCAGAGATGGACAGACTTAGGCAGAGATGGACTGGCTTACACAGAGATGGACAGACTTAGTCAGAGACAGACAGACCTAGAGATTACTGAATATGCATTTACATAAATCTAACTTTATCTGGCTGAAAAAAGTGACAATAATATGGGAAGGACACAAGTTAAAGAGACTGCAAATGTAAGTGACATTTTCATCACCTTGTTCTCTGTTTGTTTGACCAAATCTGCTTCTGCTTTCTCCTGGTCAAGCCATTCTAGCCACACAGCTCTGTAGGGAGGAGGCAACAACTGGTGAACAGACTGTCAATGAGAAAATTCTTATTATAGAGAAATATTCAAAATGTCAATCACATACAACACAGATGTTGTCTACCTTAATAACGATTACTGACACTTGCTGTTGACAAATGCCTAACCATATCAACAACTAACCTGACCTTTGCACAGTTCATACAAAGCAAGTGTTGATGCCAGGTGCTCAGATTCTTTAATGTTTTCACACAGAATCTCAGGAACAACTTCCAGCTTACCATCCTTCTTACGATCAACCATACATCTGAAATTCAGGAAAACAATTCAAAACAAACTTATTCTAACTTTCTTGAAAAATAACCAAATACATCTTACAATACAATCCTGATTGTCTAACCTAGTGACACTGATGATGTGATCCTGATTGTCTGACCTAGTGACACTGATGATGTGATCCTGATTGTCTGACCTAGTGACACTGATGATGTGATCCTGATTGTCTGACCTAGTGACACTGATGATGTGATCCTGATTGTCTGACCTAGTGACACTGATGATGTGATCCTGATTGTCTGACCTAGTGACACTGATGATGTGATCCTGATTGTCTGACCTAGTGACACAGATGATGTGATCCTGAGTGTCTGACACTGATTACTTTATGTAGTATATGACTAGAGGCTCTGTTACTATAAACCTACTTTTTCTAGTTACCAGTTACTTTTCAGAATTTTGATAAGAAAGCAAAATCATGACCATTATATGCTCTGAATCAAAACATGAACAATTAACATCAATTTTATAGTGAACATATGTTGTTTTATAAAATGAGTATTTACTTTACAAGCAGTTCATATTGAATCTACACGTTCAATTCATAGAGCTGTCAGGTATTTAATAAATTGATGGACCAATCAGTGTTGTGGATAAATCATTTCCCTGAGTTTTCCATATTGAGGGGTTCATAATTCGTTAATGAAACATGCTGATAGAAATCTGTAGCAAGTTTAAATTCTATGATGGGTTACCTTTACAGCCATGCAAACTTGTGATCATATAGACAATGAATTTGAATGTAAAATGGATATCATACCATATGTTGTTAAAAGTTGTCAGTCCCATCTATCAACAGGTCACTACAAAGGCTTTTAGAGTAAGCTCACCTGTTGTAGTCAGGTTAGTGACCAAATGTAGGACCCCCTACAAGGTTAAGCTGAAAAGCGTACATTCTGAATTTCACAAAAGTGGCTCAGAATTTGTGAAAGTAAATCACCTTGAACTTGCTATATTACAGGATTCACAAAAGTTAGAACCTGTGAAAGAAGTTTGTTTTCAGTAATCTGATCTTGACCTTGTTATCGGGTATGATGACCCTGCATGTCTGACAGGGCAAATCTGTCTGACCTGGTGAACCCGATTGTCTGACCTATGGACCTTGATTTTCTGGCCTGATAGTCCTGACTGTCCATTTTACGAACCTGACTGTTTGACCTTGTGACCCTTCTTTTACCTCATCACTCCTGATTTGTTTTGAAAATGCTACCCTGAATGTCCAACCTGGTGACCCAGAATGTATGTACCTGGTGGCCCTGAAAGTTTTCATCTGGGGACGATGATCATCTGACATTGCAACCCTGACATTCTGACCAGGTCACTACTATTGCCTAATTGAATGACCTTGAGATTAACCCTATAAATCTGAGGGTCTGAGCCAGATGTTCCTGATTATCTGACCTGATGATTCTGAATATCTGAGAGGGTGTCTATTTTGCCAAGTAGAATAATTTTTGGATTGTCTTTCTAAAATTCATTATCTGGTGACATTGACTGTCTGGTTCTGACTCTGATTTTCTGACCTTGTGACCTTGACTTTCTAATGGTGACCCTGATTTCTAACCTTGTGATTTTGTGCAACTGAAAGACACCCTTATCTTCTGACCTTGTGACCTTGACTTTCTCATGGTGACCCTGATTTCCTAACCTTGTGATCTTAAGCATATGATGGTGACCCTAATTTTCTGACCTTGTGACCTTAAATGTCCAATGGTGACCCTGTTTTTCTGACCTTGTTACTTGGTTGTCTTTTCTTGTGAGCCTTAGTAGTGTCTGACCTTCTCACTTTAATAGTCTTGACTAAATAACCTTATGATTGACCCGTTGACCTTGTTAGCCTGTGCCTAGGGACCTTAGTTGTCTGATCTGATGACCTTGAATGTCTGACCTTCTGACCTTTATTATCAGATTAAATGACTATAGCATGGGCTTGAAACCATACTAGTCTGTACCTGCTGGCCCATTTGCTTCCTCTGTGCTGGATCTTGTAATACTTCGGGGCCTCACATTTGTGTTTGCGACACCAATCAATGAGAAACTGTTTAGGGGACTTTCCTGTCCATTGCTGACGAGTATACTCAAACTGACGCACATCTTGTGCCACTTTCGCTGAAACCAACAGAAAGGAAAGAGATTAATCTCAAAAATACAACTTTTTTTACAAAAAAGGATACAAAGGGTTTAGTAAGAACTACTGGTAAGCATTTTCATGATTACAGAAACAGACATTCATGAAATGATAAAATAAAAATACAAATTACCAGTCTGGGAAATTTTCTTTGGTTCCTCTTTAGACGCCATTTCTTCAAACAAGGCAAATCCTGTACAGTCATCATCTTCTACTGCTTCGGATTTACCTTTGTCATAATTACCATCAAGATCTGTCTGTTTGATCTCAGCGTGATCATCAGACTTAGTTTGACACACACTGGCTAATGTGTTTGGTTGATCTCCTGCATCAGTTTTTTCCTTATCGAGACCCTTGATTTTCACAGCTGGGTCAAACTTTGGGTCACTTTCCAAAACATCCATATCTGAAAGACAACAATGGACAGTCATTGGTAATGTCCTTAGGACTGGTAAAACAAAACAACACAATTAAATCAGTGTCCCGAAAAAATGATTCTATGTCCAGACATATGTGTCAATACATCAGCATGCAAAAATCTAATGCTGCTGAAAAATTTGAACCAAAGAAAACTTGCAAGGTGCTGTACACACTAATTTTTCTTTAAGAAATATCAAAAAAGAATTATTATCTCCAAATCAGTTTTATTCTGATAGCAAATATTAAAAATTTGCATTCTCCTTAATATGATCTACTAGCCCTAGGTGTTTTTTTGAGAACTGTATTTATAATACCGTAAATTCAGAATTTTTTCGCAGGTATCAAATTTATACGAATTAAAATGTTTTATATCTTTTTATTGTAAACACAGGAGTAAAACATCTATAGAGCTGATGTACCTACATACACCTGAACACTTGCTAGTCATGAATACTTGAATAGGAAAATGTAAGTCTGCGTGTAAATCTCTGATCTAGTTAGCCTGGTCTGTTAGATCTCCAATTGATGTTAGAATCTACACTTTCTAAAGTGTTCAAACTCTTCAAAAGATGCCTCAAAAATTTCTGAGAAAATAACATCACAAAAACCAAAAACAAACAGAAATTACAAAAGGTATATTTTGGGGATTTTTGCAAAAATTGCACAGCGCAAAAATATCCGAATATACGGCTTCTCTGGCTAATCTAGACCAGTGTAATAATTAGTCATTGATATTAGGCAGAAATAAGAACACACCAGTGATTAACTTTCTGATTTTCTGTCCAAGTTCTTTTTGTCGCACTTTGTCTCCCTCCCTTTTAATCAAGGCAGCCTCTTCTTTAGCATCCAGTAGCTTGGCAGTCAGTTCTAAATACTGTTCATTCTAAAAATATACAGATATCGTTATACCTTTGTCATGTTCTGCAACTTAATGAAACGGGGCTCGGTCCTTGGCAATTCGAAAAATGATTTTAGAGAGAAAACAATATTGTATACATTCTGAGTCTGGTTTTTCGCTCCCAGAGATAAATTTTGACCAAGTTTTTGGGTGAGATCATTATGCAAGAATGTAGAAGCAATTTTTACCATTTTAATGTTATGTAATGTATATACCTGTATACAGGTAAACTTTGTTGCCCGAGGCACTACTACTCCCCATCTTCTGAGGTGTGAAACTATATATGATAAGACTAATTCATGCAGGTCCAGTGTTATTTCGAAAATTTTTGACTTTCATCATCACTGATCAATTTTAATGTTCATGTGATCGCTATTAAGAAATAATTATAAGATGTTCTGTTTAATTTTCAATCTGTAATATTTAGCCAATCATTTTACCAAACCACACAAAATGTGGGTGTGTGTGCACCATGTGTGCATAAAATTTGTGGTGCGTTTTGCGTTACCACAACTGCAACATGACCAGTCATTAATTCTTAACAGCGTTAACTTTGATGTGGCTACAATTCTGAATAGGACACTAAGGACTGGGCTTCAATTCTTAATACTTTAATCGAGATTGGATCAAGCCTCAATTTTAAGATTGGGCCTTAATTCCAAACAGGACCAGGTCCCAATGCTAAACAAGACTAGACCTCAATTCTAGATAGGATTGGGCCTCAACGCAAACCAGAACTGGGCCTCAATTCTAAACAGGAATAAGCCTCAATTCTAAATAAGATCGGACCTCAATTCTAGATAGGATCGGGCCTCAATTCTAAACAGGACTAGGCCTCAATTCTAGATAGGATCGGGCCTCAATTCTAAACAGGACTAGGCCTCAATTCTAGATAGGGTCGGGCCTCAATTCTAAACAGGACCAAGTCTTAATGCTAAAGAGGACCAGACTTCCATTCAAAATATAGGACTGTGCTTAACTCTGAGATACGACTATACTCAATCCTATATAGGACCATAAATCACTTCTCTGGCCTTCAACCTAATAGAGCCGGGTCTCAATTCTAGATAGGACCAGTCTATGATTCTATATGATAATTTGTAGACATTACCGGATCTACGTTTTTTATATCCTCTTCATCCTCTCCCTCCTCTTCATCAGAGGACTGCTCTGAATACTTAAGAATCCAGTTCTTCATTGATTCCTCCTTTGACTTAAAAACAAAATAAACAAATAAGAGAAAAAATTTTTAAAAAAATGAATCAAAGAATATAGGTAAACAGCAAAAAGTTCTTACCAGGCCATGTCATCTTCCTACCTCAACATGGCCAAATGTTAGAAACAAGCATTGGTGGCCATATATTCATGCACTAATTCATTAAACTGTACAAAGGGAAAATTGAAATCTGTCACATGACAACTGAGGTTACAAACTGTATATTTAGACAAGAACACAATCAAACAACAATCCTAGTAAAAGACCTTTCATTGAGAGAGTTTACAACAATGAAAAACAGCAGTGTATCTTTGTGTTTTCTGGAGATAGACTAGGTTCTGCCACTAACAAAAGAATGTTGTTTGAGAATATATTACAACATAGAGAAAGAGAGCAGTATTTGTACCTTTGAGTTTTCTGGAGACTGGTTCGGTTCTACTTCTACAGAAGTTGTCGGTGGCTGAGGTGACATTTCAAACTTTTTTCGTTCAAATTTTGGCCGAATTTTGATTTCTGCTTTTTCCAATGTTTCTGAAAATCCTTTAGGAAGCTTATCTAAATAAGAAACAAAATATAGTTCTTTATATATTCTTTTTAACACTATTTGTTCTGATCCAGTATAAAATCTTGCAAAATATTTATAGTTGCAAAATACAGATAAATGTGTTTTCATAGATTTTGTTCAGTGCGTGATACCTCGTCGTTTAAGGGCTTTCACCCTTGGTGAATATATTACAACATAAAGAAAGAGAGTACAGAATGAGCCTTTGTGATTTCTGGAGACAGAAATATTTTCAAATGTACATTTACGCACTAAACCTTGATTCATATATCATTCTTCTATCATATTTGCAATCAAGTATAATGCCAACATACTTCAAGTTCATGTATCTACCAGTCAATGTCTCCGATTTCTCTTTCACAACAGCTGATTGTTCGTCCATTTCAATATTACCACATTCCCTCATTATAACACATCATCTTTAACAACAACTAACAAAAATATAACACTATGAATGATATGTTTTATCATGTTTTTTCCAGTAATAAGCCCAATGGATAAAAAAAATGATCTCTGATTGCATTACAGGACTATCATCTGATATGTGCTTATTATCAAATAAAATAATGTTATTACGTTACACTAGATAACAACCTGTGTTATGTAGAGGTAGTAATGTTAGCAGATTTTCTTGAGGAATTAAAGGTGAGAAGTGTGTGTTGACGTAGATTTAGGATTATGGGATTTTAAATATCATTTTCCGTGGAAAAATCAAAGAATCTGTGAGGCCGTCTTCTTTGATTGAATTTTGTGATTATTTGGTACACAAAACTGACAGAGGAAGTATCAAATTATTTACATATGAGCAACATCAATAAATAACATAACTTCTGAATATGTTGAACGCAAACTCTCCAAATCAACATCGTCCAAAATGAGGACAAAGTTCTTAAAAACATAATAGCTACTACATACACGTAGGTAGCAAATGAGGAACCTATACTAGGATACTGACCGGTCAAAACAGTGGCCAGTCCGGGACATTGAAAAATAACTGATAATTATGATATAATTTTCTTTTACCATGTAAAGGTAAATCCAAATGTTTTCCAAGCGTGAGATTTCCTTGTCACACCTAAGATTCAGACAAGCTACAACGCATGTGTAACTTCCAACCAGCTTCCTTTGGGGAAAGACTATTAGGTGTCAAGCCTCTGTTTGACTATTTAATAATCTTCCCTCTCAGAGAGAGATCCCCCTATCTCACCCTAAATGGGGTAACAGATTCTATAACCCTATGAAACACTTACATGTTGGAGTGTTAAGTGATAGTAGATTCTATTTTATTCTTTTCCATGTTCAGGGCTCTCACACCCCATTGGAATGGGGCCCGGGGCCCTTAGAATTGGGAAAAATAGCAGTGTTTTCCTTACAATTGGGAAAAATAGCAGTGTTTTCCTTAGAATTGGGAAAACCTGGGGTCTAAATTCGGGAAAAAAGATATTATTTTGCATTGGGAATGGGGCCGAATATTGGCCCCAAATCTGGCAGATCGAGAACCCTGATGTTGGATATTGCGATGAAGAAGCCATAGAGTTGACCTACCATTAGCCAAGTTGAGACAGAGCCAATCCAGAGAGTCTATCAGATCTCCTCCATAGGTGACGGTACTATTCATGGCCTGCTCGATTTGGTTATGACTGAACCCAGCTCCCTGTAGACTGGTGTACATGTCCTAGTCAACAAACAAAACAAATTCTCTACAATTCAGAATGAACTCAAATGGTTCTCTTTCTTGTTGTGTTTTCTGACCCCTATAATCTACAAACAAATGATTTCTATTTTGGTATTTTCAATTTTTGCGACTCCGATATTTGAATCCTGGATTCAGGATTTTCCTGTGGGACTTACATCATTGAGGAACCACTATATCTCTTAGTATTAGAAAATCGTCAAAATTTTGGAAATCGTGTTCAGGACTTGCTTGAAAAAAATCCTATAAAAAATGCTGCTCTGACCTAATTACTCTTATTAACAAAAATTCTATCAGCTAACAACTCAAAATGTTTTTTTATAATTTTCTCTCTCATTATAAGCCGTGTAAATATCCAACAAGTAAACGTGCAGTCATTGAGGAGTCTGTTAAATATCACACCAACCATGAGCTTTTTGTTAGTGATACGCTTGCTGAGTTCTTTGGTCTTTGTAGACTGTGCATGTTCACCATTGATCAGCTGAATGATGTCTTGTTCCAGAAGTTGTGGTATCTTTATCTAGAAATAAAAGATATGCTATTTTTGATGTCAGTGCTTAATAAAGGTATTTCTTCATAATCTGTGAGTTAAGCTCTAAAAATACTTGTTAAACTTAATTTGATTTACAACAATTTTGAAAAAAAAATCTTTAAGTTATGCTGACTGTTCTTGTTGGCCTGGATTGGATAATATTGTAGCATACAAGGTCTTGTGGTGGCAGGATTAACCAAACTTTATCCAGCAAAAACCCATATGGTTGGGCAGGTGACCACATACGTTTACATAACCTATCAAGTAACTGAACCCTGGTCACTTAGGTTAAAGGTGAGAGCACAAATGTAACCACTTTGCCACTGAACCATCAAGGTAGCATGATGTTGAATATGTGATATGTACAAATATTTTCTGATCCCTTAATATGTATATATATATATATATATAATTGAAGGCTTAAAGATGTAGTCAATTAATTGTTTTCAGATATCAATCACAAAATGAGCAATAGGCTGGGAGCTTGCCTTCATTACATTAGTTATGCTGTGAATTAATTTTTATTACATCCAACAGATCATGAGAAAGCCTGAAAAAATAAGTATTAGTGGAATTGATGAATACTCCCCAAAAAACAACTTTATTGGACACAAAATTTTAACAAAGGGCAATAATTCTGTAATTTAAAGGAGTGCAGGCCCTGAATTAGGTATACTACACATTTTCTTCATATGACCAATGTATAACAAGTTTCATGATCCAAGTTTTAATGCAAGCAAAGCTATGGTTATGATAAAACATTTAACAAAGGGAAATAACTCTGTACTGAGGGGTCATAGGCCCTGGCTTTGCTCCAGTCTGTACCTTGCTTTTGTGTACATTATTGTTCAACATCCAAGTTTAAATGCAGGCAAAGTAATGCTCTGGACACAAAATTTTGATAAAGATCATTAAAGGGTATCAAGCCCTAACATTGGTAAAATGTAGTATGCGTTCGTTTGATCAATGTATACACCAAGTTTCATTATCCTACCTAAAATGCATGCAAAGTTATGCTCTGGGCAAGCAAGGGTAATAACTCTGTAATTGAGGGGTGGAGGGCCCTGAATTTGGTACACATAACATTGTTTTGGTATGATAAATGTATAAGTTTCATGATCTTTGCTTAAGAGTGAGCAAAGTTATGCTCGTGAGAGGAGATTTTTAACAAAGGGCAAGTATCTGTAATTAAGGGGTTGTGGGTCCTAACATTGGTAAACTGCTCATCGTCTTTGTTGGATTAATGTATCCACCAAGTTTCATTATCTTAGTTTATATGCAAGCAATTTAAAGTTTTTCTCTGTGCACATAATAATAACAAAGGGAAATAACTCTGTAGTCAATGGGTTGCAGGTCCTGAATTCGGTACACTGTACACTTCCTTCGTAAGACCAGTGTATACACAAAGTTTCATGCCCTTGCTTAACTGTGGGAAAAGTTAACCTGAAAATTTTTGAGGAGCATAAAATAAGACATTTCAGTCAAAAAACAATGTTTCTGAAAGCATACACATGGAACAACATACAGGAGGCACGTCAGATGTCATCCAGTGATTAGGACAAATTAAATTGTATTGCCTAACAACGTGACAACAAACATTACAGACCGACCTGTTTTTCAGTTTCCTGAGATACACAAACAACCACAGGTAACGAACATCCAACCAGGCACCTCATCCTGAAGATAGGTAGGTCAATGCTTTAACTGCCTGAGCTAACACAGTTAATTCAAGTTGTGAATCACAGCCATAAAGGTATGTTTTACACCTGTTTTAAATAATGTACATTACCTTTTCTGTGTTGTCTTTGTCATCCGCGACAGATTTGTCTCCTGACTTTGGCAGAGAGTAAGTCTTCTTTCCTGAAATACATTATTCTTTTTTCTAATGCAACCATATGAATTTTACCCATAATGTATACATGCATCACAGATTGACAGAGGTTTGTCTAATTTAAGATAATTATTCATTGATAATGATTGTACATTTATCTTGTTCATTTCCCATCATGCCTAGTATCAGTACTGGCAGTGTTTACATGGTCTTACAAATTTCTAAACTTGACAAGGCCAACGGGTCAAATAAAGTCAGTAGTCCTACACTCAAAGAGTATACTTAAATCACATTCACTAAATCTTTTAACACGTACAAAACACCACTTGATTAGAACCTTGCAACCATAGCACCAGCATACAAAAAAAAAAGATGAAAAGTACAGTCTGGAAATTATATTTCTCATCTGCATAAGCTACTAACTCTAAGATCACGAAACACAAACTATAATGTAAGGTAGCACCTAACACCAAATAACATCCTATGCAATTTAAAACATAGGTTCTATAAATCATGATAGTGAAGAATTCCCACTAAAACACTATTTTCATTGATTAGCTGATTAAAACAATGGCCAGCAAAGACAGACTATGCTCCCCAAATGAAACAAAATTTAAGTATGAAAAATAACAATGGGCAATAACTCCTATATTATGCAAAAGAGAGTGATGGTTTTTGTGTACAGGACTTATTGAAATCTATCTACCTATTAAGTTTTGTTTGTTATGCTCTAGACAAAATTTTGATGGACAGACAAGGAGACAACTATATGCTCTCCCTTCAGGGAGCATAAAAACAAACAAACTGACACTGCTTATTATTCTGGCATCCAGTCAAACATCCTTAACAGAGTTTCCACTTTCCTAAGTAACCATTCCGAGTCAGTAATGACTTATTTACTTATGAATGCAGTGTCTGGTGTTGTTTCAAAAACTGTCAAATTGAAAATTACTTTCACCAATCAATTTTAATTTTCCTGTGATCGTTACTTAGTCATAACTACACATGGTTTTGTTTAATTTTCAATATGCAATATTAGCTAACAATTTTTCCCAAAAAGCACAAAATGTTCTATCCTATCCTACTGTATCGTGCAAGTTAGCAAACAACGTATGCATGATGTGCACACAAAGTTTTTGTTGCGTTGTTCATTACTAAAAATTGAATATAACACAGTATTTGCCAGCAGACATATGAAAAGTGAAACATGTAGCAAAATAACACAAAATATTGCATTTTCAGATGAAAAAAAAACTGGCGATAAGTTAGTGAGTTTGGTGAACATAATCTCGACTAATTTTTTTAATTTTTATTATTCATTTTACAAACAACGGCGCCCTAAAAAGTTAGACACCTCTAGATCAGTTGACTCTGGATCCGGATACATCGGCACTCAAGTGTTTGTCGGGTGTAATATTTGTAGACTTACCTTTTTCATCTCTGTGTTTCTTTGACTTCGTGGAGTCATCTGCAGGCTGAATCTTTTCTTGTTTAGCTTGTTTCTTTTTACCCATTTTAATTTATTTTCATATAGGAAAAAATCACAATTTTGTTACATGCACTCTCATCCAAAGTGTTTGTCATGGGCGCAGCCATCTTTTAAATTCTAAGTATTGAACCGGATATGATCCATGCTCCGGAATTTTCGCGTCGTGAATTGTCGCCTCTTATTCCGCGCTAGTAAGGGTTTAACGGGAGTTAACGTCCACTACTTCAGCCTTTCAGCGGACGAAAAATAAGATTGGTAATTTGTGGGAGCAAGTGATTATTAGATGTTCATATTTCATTATCGTAGAGTGCATATATAGTGCCTCACATTTGCATTTATGATGTTCAATAATTTTAAGCGATACCAGTCGGCACACAGCTTCGCTCAAAGCTTGTTTCTCATTGAACACGCTGCTTTTCGTGTTTTGTACTTTTACAAGAGTCTCCATGTATTTTTCTTTCTTTCTTTTTTTTTGTTCAAATTTTGTCCTGTTTTATGGTATTTTGAGTTTGGATTATGGTTATGTTGACACGTTGGTATTTTATTTTCATACGTTACCATACATGTACACTCTAATTAAGATTTTACGGTAAATTCTTCCTACATTTATTTACTATTATTAAATATTTTCCTAAATTACGAAGTTCTCTTATATTTTCGACTTTGAGTAATTAGTTGAATTTAAACATACCAGGCTTATTATTACAATATGGCTTAATGAAATTTAATGGAATATCTGCATAACAGTTACACTGATTAACAATATGATATTTATCTTCTATGTAGTCACATTCAATACAATACACTTTCTTACATTTAATACGATATATTTTCTTCACTTGGTACATCTGTGTGTCGGTCATGTTAAACTGCTAGATCATGCACAGATAAACGGATCTTAGAAATTAGTTTTTTACGACTAAAACAGTTTTACGAAGGTGAGTCCGAAGTTTGATACTTTCAATGATATATTAATATAAAAAAAATTTAGATGAGGAGGGAAATTTCAAAAAGTTGTTGTTGTCAAATGAACAATAAATGACATTATAGAAGCCAGCAGAGCGGTTACTGGTATCTTAAATCATGTCTCTTTAGACACTGTTAATTTTGTATAATATTATCTACTTAACGTCGTGATAACTAACCCGTCATTATAAATACACACACTACAAGCATGTCACCTCACACACGCACACACGCACACACACACACACACACACACACACACACACACACACACACACACACACACACACACACACACACACACACACACACACACACACACACACACACACACGCACACACACACACACACACACACACACACACACACACACACACACACACACACACACACACACACACACACTCAATAATTCAATAAGAATGAAAAAATGTTTAATAGAAAATGAAAAGGTAATAAGTAAATCTGTTCAAGTCATGCGTAAATTAAAAACTAATCTTTCTATTATTGTTAATTGTTAATTGTTAATACAAAATGCTACTCTTTCTTAATGCTTGAATGGATTCAATCATATTTGGTCTGAAACATCATTGAGAGAAGAGAATCATTTCTGATCTTCTTAGAGTTGATTCGACCCCTAGGGATCTGGGGGTGGGCGGAGCCCATAATGGGGATGTTAGTCAATATTTGCTAAAAATGGCACTCCTTCTTAATGCTTGAATGGATTTCAGCCATTGGTCTGAAATACCATCGAGAGCGTAGATTCATTTCTTAAATTCAGAAAGTTGATTCGACCCTTAGTTAATAGGAATGACCTTGACCTTGATCTGCTTGAAAGGTCATAGGAATCAAATATGTTAAAATCTTTATATGACTTCTTTTCAATATCGAAATGGCCAAAGATGAATATATAAGGCCTGTAGCATGCTAGGATGAATGGCTACCAACTTTATTAATATAACACTGACACACCTTCAAGGTCACAGGTATCAAATGTAAGGTGCTGATATTGGACCAACTTTCAAGGGCACATGGGTCAAATGTGTTGAAATGGTTTAGCAACTTCTTCTCAATAACCGAAAGGCCAAGGGTCTTGATGTTTGGCCTGTAGCTTGCTTTTTCAACAAGCAATATGTCCGGAGTAATGGCTGTTGTGTAGTGCATGTATAAAGACTATGATTTCAAGTTAGTAAAATTGCTGATGAACAACAACATCTTCTATGTAAGCTGTAGAGTAGTTGAGCAATTTATTTTAGGCCTATTTTGCCTTTTTTATATATAGGTCTATATAGTCAGATGACCATTAATGCTTTAGTGTTAAAGGAAAAAGGAAAATCGGTTAATGATAATGTAGGTATGTGGGGATCGACATTTTAGGTTCAGAATCTCTGATAAGTCTTGGCTCTGAAACCAAAATCTGTATTGTCGTGTGTTCGTACTGTATTTTACATGTATACATGTTCTTATGGTTTTCGAATCTGATAATCCAAATTGCATATTCGATATGGTATACATGTATCGCACACATGAGGAGGTGGACTAAATATTGACCATTGCTGACATGAAAGGTTTTCCATTTTAACGTTACTGTCAGGAATCTTTTGGTGTCTATTTGTTGCCTCACAGGAAAAGGGATTCGCGCCACAACGAAAGATTATCTATTGCACACCCAAAAAATTGTTTTTACCTTTTAAAATGACAATTATTATGAAACATTAATTGATTTCTCACATCTTGTTGATCCAATATTTAACCAATTACGAAAATCCATTTTCATGAGATACGGGAACATTGCTCCTTCAACACATGCCATTCAAATCGGTCAGAGAGTGTAATTTCTTTTGAGAACATACTGGCAATGACAAAAAATAGGGTGATTAGATGACGGCTTTGGCATCGCACTTGCCCTTCACCTAGCCGTCCGGGGTTCATTCCTCGACCGAACCGGCCAGACCACGTGGGTTTCGCCTGGATACACCGGTTTCCTCTCGCATTTACATTCGGTCCAGCAAGAATGATTACAAATTACAGCATTAGCTATTGCTGTGTACTGCCATTTCGAGTCTATTATACAAAATACAACTCAAGTTTGCATTAAAAAAATATTCTAATATATTGTTATACATAGTTGACGCTTTTCGACGCATGTAACACACCAATGATTTCACCATATTGAAATCTGTAGTCGTGTATAATAGCTTTTAAAGTACAACAAACCAGCAATCTTTTTTATTTTACAGGATTTGTCGGGATGTGACTGTGGGATTCCTGCCAGATTAAAAAAATCGAATGAAATAATCGTCCATATAGTTATTTCCCGATACATTCAATCAAACTAAGGTAAAACGAAGCGTCAAATTAAAGTATAAAAATTTCAGTGTTGTTGATCTACAATTCAAAATATTAACAGATACGTAGCACTCACAGTAAACAAAATCATTTCATTTCAACAGATTTTATTGACAATATCGTAAGTGATGATTGGGATTGAACAATAGGAAAAGCTTATAGAAATTTTCACCATATGATGGACAGAGCAGGACATAATAATCACACATTTTACAAATTGAAATTAAAATTGTATAAGAATTTACAACACAAAATCAAGGGAGGTAAGTCATAGAGGGTAATGGAGGTAAGGGAGGTAAGTTAAGAGGGTAAAGGGAGGTAAGTCATAAACTCTTGCACATTTATATGTACTGAAAACAGCAGTTTTTAATATATCACGAATTATTAAAAAACACAATTACAATATCATAAGTTGTTGACAATGTTGAGATATGCACTTTATTTATTTAACTTCTCCAAAAATAAGATATATACATGTATTAGTCCACAGATTGTATTTCCCATATTTGTCGTTATGTAACGCAGAAAAAATCAATCTTGTGTTAAAACTAATTCAGTGGATATAGATAGATATATACAACAGCTTATCTTTAAATATAGTCGACAAAGATTTCACATTTTAAAAATCATTTAGCAATATTGGTTTTAGACAGTTTTGTTATGTTACTTTTAGTACAGTTTAATGATAATTGCTTGTTAAAATGATGTAATTTTGATGTTACTTTTCTTAAATCAGAACGTCCGTCAGAAATCAACAAACACGAACTGATTTTACTCAGTCCTCTACACAACAAGAAATTTTGCGTCCTACCTAACCTTGCGTTTCATTGCGAAATCTGTACCACTACTTTTCCCATAAAGTAAATTGTGGTGCAAAGTTACCCCATATCATGATAGTATAATTATGTTTGAAGGTATGAATGGATATTTTATCGTATGGATGTGATCGACATGGTTGGTACAGAAATGTGATAAGTGACACCCTGATTAGATATTTTTGTATGTAATTGTATGGCATTGTCTTACATATTGATAATAAGAAGATAAATCCAAGAATCATATCGTAATCAACCAAACAAATGATTCCGTTCTCATGAAAAAGGCGACATCATTTCTAACCTGAAATGCACGCTGACTAGATCAGTCTTCACTGCTTTTTAAATAGACTGCTTCTAATTAAAAGAACTAAGTTATTTCAAAGTAGAATGCTGTTTTCGCCTCTGTACAAATACATTATATCGCTAAATATAACTGTATTTGTCCTTTGTGATAAAATGTACCATCTACAGCTACTATTTATACAGCTGTCTAGATTGCAATATTTTTGGATGAATTTCAATAATGATAGATATTGCAAAATATAATCTGCGAGAGAATTCTCTTAGTTTATTAAGGATAGTGCAATAACGTGGTGCGTAAGTCAAATACATTTGTATCAGTTCTAGGGTAATTCAAATTTATCAATATCAATGAACTGATTTTGGGAAATCATATTCAACGTCCTTATTCAATCCTAAATCACGTTCTCGTGATGATCAGAAATATGAACAAAGGTCCATGGGACCTGTATTGCTCACTGGTTTACTTTGCTGAAATCCATTTATTTTAACTAAGAGAAAATACTTAAAACATAATTGTATCTATTTCCCAATAATAGGATCGTTTCTCCCCACCTCCAACCCCCACCCCCACACCTTCTTACACTCTTCCCCTTCCAAGGCTTGAAAAGGGAGTTCTTTAAAAAAAAAAAAAAAAAAGATAAA